GGCTTTGAGTTCCCTCTGCGAATTCTGTTTTACGTCTTCTATGGATTCAAAACGCGTTCCTCTGAGTGGTAATTTGAGGTTGGGAAACAGGAAAAAGTCACACGGTGCAAGATCAGGTGAATACGGTGGCTGTTCGATGGTATTTATTGAATGTTTGGCCTTAAAATCGTTGATAATGTTGAACAAATTGAGGTGAATCGGAACAAGCCGGGCGTTGACACGTCGCATACACAAATTGTCCACCAAAATCAAACGAGCCATCTCACGACCGATGCCTAGCTCTCGTGCTATCTCTCTAACACTCACATGAGGATTTTTGAACACGATTTCCTTTGCCTTTTCAATGTTTTCGTCGGTGGTAGAGGTCGAAGGTCGTCCAGAACGCGGCATGTCTTCGACGGTCGTACGACAGTCCTGAAAGGCTTTGTACCACTCATAAACTTGAGTTTTCGATAAAACTGATTCCCCATAAGCCTTTTGTAGCATTCGCAACGATTCTGCACACGAAATTTTGTTCGAAACACAAAATTTGATGCAAACTCTTTGTTCAATATTTTTTTCCATTGTTTTTTTCGCAACGCACTACTGAGGTGAACTGGTTTCAACAGCTGCCGTAAACGAACTGTCTGACAGATCGCGCTCATTTTTGGCATAGTAATTAAGGACAGCAAACTACATAAACTTAAAATATCGAAAAATATACAGCGCGCGAATTTTAAATGAGAATTTCCGAAAACTTTTCGGTCACAATGTATAAAATATTAATATCACCAACCTACAATACAATAGTTTTTTTAACCGGTAAATATTACAGTATTCACCTCTTTTTGAAATGTTTTGAATAAAAGAACCAATGGAAACTAAGATGGCTCTTATGCAAAATATCACACACAAAATATTATGTGTACTTATGTATATTATATTATATTCTTGTGTCTTGTTCTTATGTTGCTGCTGTTCTGTTATGAAAGATCGGCTTATTCTGAGGTCCTTGTAGACAAGGTACATCCATGGTGCCATGATAGAAGGACATTAAAAAGAGTAAATAGTTGGAAGCTGGTACTTGGTGGTACTATCACCATCTGTAAATTATTGTTGGAGAACAGTGTCTTTCATGAGGCCAACGGATCTTGAGCAAGAGGGAAGACTTTTTAAATTTCTATTCTAATGTGGTCGACACTTAATAGCAAAGAACCAAGGATCCTGCGTATTCTACTAAAAAAAAATATTTCTAAGGTTGTCAATTGTGTAACATTTCACCAACTGGTTGGCTAATGGTTCCCTGTTATGAATACTGCGACAGTTGCGAAGTTACCGAGAAGGATGAAACACTTATTTCGCATATAGTCAGTTGTAGTTAGATATTAAGCGAATAATAGAACAGTGAAGTTTCCATTCTAAGTAGTAGCATTACAATAGACCTGCAGATATTAAATGACTTGGTCAATTTAACTGAATACTGGATTAACCTAACGTAATTGTATAGATGATTTTGACCTGACCTGAGCTGAGTCAAAATTAATTAGAACATATTGAAATCAGCGTACTGTTTTTCGTTTTACTCCGGTCGTCTTATATTTTTACTTTATTTAATAATTTTATATAATAAAAAATTGTTTTATTTTCTTTTTAGGATATTTCAAGCATGAAAAATGTAATAACTCGTGTAAAAGGAAGTCAGCCAGCACCAATTTTACTAGTCGCCAATAAATTTGACTTAGATTGCCAAAGAGAGGTTTCAACAGCTGAAGGTATTTATATTTTTATAATTATATTAACATAATCTATAATTATAATTCATATTTAAGGAAACGCTTTAGCACAATTATGGGAATGTCCGTTTATTGAAGCATCCGCAAAGGATAGAATAAATGTAAATGAAGTCTTTGCAACCATAGTCCGAGAAATGAATATTACACAAGAAAAGCGCCAGAAAAAAACATACTGCTGTTGTACACTTTTATAGAAATTTTAAACAATTTTTTAAATGTAATATTAGCAAAAAGGAGTATATTTGTATATGCCAATTATATAGATGATAAAATTATGTATAACCGAACTTATTACATCTTAATAATGTAAAGAGTAATAATAAATTTAATATTTTTTATTAAAAAAAAAATTTTAAAAAAAATATATATATAATAAATAAAAGTAAATATATTAGTATATATATACTTTTATGAATAATAAATAAATAAATAAGAATGTATCACTAATTTTAAAGAAAAAAAAAAGTTTTATACTCTATATAGTATTTATAATTTTCTAAAAAAATCGAAAAGGAAAATCTTAATTTTTTACATGCATTTAACTACATTTTAAAATAATATTTGTTATGGGAAGCAATGAAGTAACGATATTGTTACATGTCCTTTTCCTAATTTGGATATTTCTATTTTTAACACAATTATGATTTGAGATTCATTTGATTAAATATTGAAAAATTATTCTCAAACATTTTTATCTACATATAATAACGAGCAAAACAAAAAAAAAATTGAAAAGGAATTACAAATAAAACCGTTTTATTATTTGAAACCTATCTAATTATTTTGTATTGGCTAGTGTACTAAGCTGTAATATATTATTAATGTAAGACGTGACATAAAAAATTTAGCTTTTCTTTGCTTAAATTTTTTCAATAAATTTATTCAAACATGAGATATTTTGAACATCACATAATTTAAGGTAAATATTTATTCGCTTTTGTAAATCATGAATGAAATGAATATGCAAAATATACTAAAAACATGAAATAAAGTATTCTTCCAAGTAATTTTTCACTGTGGAATCATCTGGTATTTTCTCTGCGATTTTTAAAAGTAAATTAAGTATATAGAAAAAAAAACGTATATGATCAATTGTTCTGAAAATTTACAGATATTATATATTTCATAGTCAGAATACGATTTAAGCCTATTTAAAGATACTAAGTGCTTCAAATAAATTACTTATTTATAGTAAAGTATTTACATTATATGTGTAGTAGGCCACAATGGAATTAACATTTAAATAGTCAATAAAACAACAAATTAACAAGACAACCGTCTAAACAGTTCAGTGAACTAGATATAAATACTATAAGGTAGATTATTAAATTGATTTTAACGTTAATATGACGGTAGTGACTATTTTAGACAGTATTGTGTTTAATATAGAGGTTTCGAAAAGTAGTGAGCTACAACAACAAAAATCCTTTTTATATTATTTCAATTAATTGAATTTTTTGCTAACCATACAGTTGTTTCAAGTATTGCCAAATACCCATCATCAGTGGTCTTGATGTTATTTCTTATATTTAATTATTCGTAGACTATTAAATAAATAGGACTTTTGTTGTGAGGCC